ATCATTGTGATTAGCCTAGACTCTCAGAAATAACAAAAATAAGCAAAAAAATAAAACTACTGGATAATGTGGAAACACTTGACTGCAATTGTCTTTTTAAGTTGGCACTAATGTATTTGAATATGTGCTTAAAATAAATAAGGTGGGTACATTTGGAAAAACTGCTATGCCTGCCACCTGGGAACAGTCTAAAATTCCTGGGATTCTGAAAAGGGTGAAGGAGAGCAGTTTTTGTTTTGTTTTGTTTTTTGTTTGCCATGATACAAAGATTTTTTGGCAACAGATATAGGAAAGAACAAATATCTCAGAGTCACAGTGAGCTTTCAGTGAGGGAGTATTGCCTCAACAATTAGAAGAATCAAGGGCAAAAGAATAGCAGCTGTATGAAGACAGAAATGGAGATATAGATAGAAATAGATAAGTAGGGAGACAGAGAGAGAGATTTCAAAAAGCTTTTACACCCATGAGAAGATTCATTGTGAAAATCTCTACTAGGTGAAGCAATAAACAGCCTTTAAGGTTCTATGAATGTTTGTGTTGCTTTGCTTGTTCAGCTTTGTGTATGAATTCATGACAACTTAGAGACTATTTCATCATGATGTCTCTCATTTCCTAATTTTACATCTTTTTACATATAAAATGTGAAGCAGTACCCACACATAAAAAACCTTAGTGTTGATAACTAAGTATATTCGTTTGCTAGTGTTGCCACAACAAAATACCACAGACTGGGTGGCTGAAACAACAGAAATTTATTTTCTCACAGTTCTGGAGGCTAAAAGGTCAAGATCAAGGTGCTGTTACGGTTGATTTGTTCTGAGACCTCTTTCCTTTGCTTGTAGGTGGCCACCCTCTTGCTTTCTCCTCACATGGTCTTTCCTGTGCACAAGTAACCCTGGTACCTCTTTGTGAGTCTAAATTTCCATTTCTTCTTTTTATGAAGACTTGGATCAGATTGGATTAGGGCTCACCCTAACCATCTCATTTTAACTTCATCACCTTTTTAAGAAAAAGATTAATTTATTTATTTTAGAGGGAGAGAGCATGAGTGGGAGGGAATAGAGGAAAAGGGAGAGAGACTCTCAAGCAGACTCCACACTGATCATGGAGCCCAACGAGGGGCTTGATTCCCAGGACCCCAAGATCATGACCTAAGCCAAAACCAAGAGTCGGACCCTTAGCCTGCTGAGCCACCCAGGCACCCCTTAACTTAATCATTTCTATAGAGGCCCTATCTCCAAATACACTTTCTGAGTCACTATTAGTCAACATACTAATTTTAGAGGGTTGCCATTCAATCCATAATATCAGGGTTTAATAGGAGTTTCCTGATGAATGAGACTGGAAGCACAGGGTAGACATGGAAACATAGATCTTCTGGCAGTAAAAAAAAAAATTATGGACCACAAATGATACATTCTAAAAAAGTTTAATTAGAACAATTTGGAAAGTTTCTATTATCAGACACATTTGTGATTATATTGTGACTTAATGATAAGAGAGTGAGATTTTGGTAAAATATTTTTATCTCATCATATCCTAATTAACATACCATCCCCATACTCCAAATGAACTCTAATTGATTCTTTAGAGATTGAGGTGTGTATTTCTGGGCTGCTCTGTGGAAGAGGTCTCAAAGGTCTGTTGAGAAAATACATATATCGATTCCAGCAAAGCATGCCAAAATATCAGAGGAAAAGGAAAAGTCTGTCACTTCCAGCATCTGTCCTTCCTGGCCAAGAGTAAGCAACTGGAACCAGGAGTAGTTAAGTGGTTTGGTCTTTCTTTGGCCTCAAAGAAGAAGGGGAATACAGAGTCACTCATGGCTCTCAAAGGATCGTTGTTATGCCAAATACACACACACATACACACAGACACACAATCTGCTATATAGGAGTCCACTAATGATATGCCTAACCTTCATTTAGAATTTGAAATTCAATCTCATAGTTATTCTGGGTCATCATGTGTTCACTAACAAAGTGGGGTAAACAAGAGGTGAATAAAGTTGACACCCTTTTGGAATATGGTGGTTGTGGTGCTCCGTGCTGTCCAATCTACTGTGTGTGATATTTTCACTTCTTGCTACTAGTTTTCAGGTGTTAGAGGGACACGTTCTTCCCCCAAATGTTTAGGGCTTCAGTGGAGGGAGCAGGAAACAGGAGAACACACATCTTATAGAAACCATTCTACATGGGATTTTAAGCACGATTGGCTCAGACTATTTCTGTATCTTTTATTTCACATCCACACTTTCATTGCAATTTATTTCAAATTCAAGCTGGATCTTAGGACATCCTGATTGTTATGAGTGTGATGATTAGGAGGCCTGTCTTTAATAATCTTCCTTCTAAAGTGATACAGTATGCTGAGTCAGAAAAGTCCAGTTGAGGGTGAATTTGTCCTAAGTAGTTTGTACTAGGTTAGAAGTAGACAATACTTTGGGGGAAAACAACTTCAAGATATAAAGATAATTACCCATTTATTCATTCTAGAAATATTTATTAAGTGCCAATTAGTTGCCGGGAACAGTTCTATATGTGCTGGGTACAGCAGTAAACAAAACAGAGAAATTGTACTGACCTGTGTCATTGCATGCTGATGGGAAAAATGGATAATAAACCATATTCAGGAGTTAGAAGATGACAGTACATCTTGGGGAAAATAGAGCAGAGTCTGGGCTTACACCTCATCTCCTGCAAATCCCGTTCAAATGTCATTTTCTGAAAAAGGCCCGGTCTCATCACTCCATTTCAAATCCCATGCCCTCTTCCACACCAGCAATCCACATCCTCTTGTTTTGCTCAAACTCTGCTCTATTTTCCCCAAGATCATTTGTGTTGGTGTAAAGACCAAAATCCTTAATATGGCTTCCAATAGGCTTTGTGAGCTGATCACTCTTGTGGCTCACCTACTGGTTCCTCTCTGCACCCTGTCTTTACTTGATGCCTCTCAACTCTTTGAGCTCACCAGACTCTCTCTCATGTGAGGGCTCTGATATATGTTATTTTTTCTCATGGAGCTGCTCTCCTCTCCTCCTTACTCTTACAATGGGATAGTACTGAGCTCATTTCTCAGGTCTCTTTTCCATATCTCTTCTTTTGTGAAGACTTTGAGCAGTGACCAAAAAACTATTAATTTTTTTTTCAGTTATTTGCCTCTCCGAAGGGCAGGAATAAAAGAGTAGTAAGAGGCACTGTCAGATATTTTCATTTTTTCCCCAAGTTATTTCATATTAAAGATGAACTTATTAAGGCACAGGTATTTTTCATTGTATAGATAAATGAACACAGCAGAGGAGGTTCATAATAACTATTGGGATGATGGCTATCACCCACCAGTTTATACATTTTCAATATAATGACCATAAATCCCTGCCAAGATAACTATTATTCAAGCTTGAGTTAATTCAGAAAAAAATTATAGTGTACAAATGAACACCAGCATAGCACAATAAATGTGAAGCTCCCGGGATGTGAGATTATTAAGGGGAAATCAATTATGTGAGTAATTGAGTTTGGTTGAAGTCCTAAATAGGTGAAGACAAGTAGTGAGAGAGAGTTGTATGGAAGGGGGTGTAGGACTAAAGCATCTGTGCTTTGTGTGCTAATGAGATGAGATCCATTATATGGTAATAGTTGGAGGAATGAGTGATCTTCAGGATTCCAAGCTTTACCTACCACAGTCATGTCCTCTCTGAACATCATCAGTTACATTTGAAAGATAAGGACACCTAATATTTAAAGATTAAGATACCTTCCTTCTTAACAAGCAGAACAATAGATTTTGGGGCAGAAAATTCACATTTACAGTCCAGTTACAAACTGATTCTGGTTTAGCTCAAAGGAGAATGTTCTGAACATGGAAGTAAATCACAATCTCTCTTGTTTTTAGTTTTCTGCCACTACCTTTTTAACTAAGGGATAGTCAGCTGGCTACTGGGGCATACTCCATATGTTTTGAATTAGATTCCTCCTTTTAGCTTCTCCCTCAGAGTTTTAGAGACTCAAGATGATTTGGAAGGATTCATGGCTTCTCAATCAATCCTTGACACCAAAAATTTTGCTCTTCCTAATGTTCAGCATTTACTATAACCAAAAATACCTCAGCTATGTATACGAATCTCATTTATCAACAAGAGAAAGTGGGGAAAATGTTCTTAAAAAAGGCTTTTTCAAAGATCTTTCCATTAAGTAAAGAAATTCAGGTTGCCAAAGGATTATATATTGCCTTAACCAGGAGAACAAGAGAAAAGCAATTTACTTATAAAAGACATAAATGGCTTAACAGTTGAGAGCACATACTCCTGATAAAGAGAATTCTGTTTTTAAATACCAGCTCTGCTATTGATCTGTTCTGTAACTTTGGAATTGTTTCTTAAACTCCATGAGAATCATAATAGTACCTACTTTATGAAGCTGTAGAAAGGATTAAATGGTTCAAGATTAGGATTTAGAATATTAACTGGCACATAGTGAGTAATTTATATTAACTATATTATATTATTATATTACATTATATCATATAATACCATATATCATATCATCATATCATATCATATCATATCGAATGTAAATGTTGTATTGATAGTCACAGGAGTGGTACAGTGTGTTGGTATTAGTATAATTTTTCAGCACAATGCCTGACACATACATTCTCAATAATGCATGAAGGAAACTAAAATTTTTTGAGCACTTACTATGTACTTAACATTGGGCTGGATATTTTCATGCATGTCTTCAATCAAACAGTGTGTTGGGGCTTCATTTTCCTTCTCTGGTGGGACTAAGGGACTTGCCCTGCATTAAACAATTAATAAGTGAAAGCCCTAATTTCACAATCAGATTCTAACACTAATTCCTGTGGTCTACCCAAGTCACAGACTGAAATTCTATCATTCTAGGTAATCATGGATAAAAGTCTATGAATGTCCTAATAATTATGGACTTAACTTATGCCTTTGTTTATTTATTTCAATGGAAAAATCACAAAATGACTTTTTTTTCCTCCTCAAAGTCTTTATCAGGCTTTCTCCTCTGTGGACATGGAAATAGGAAATAGTACCATTCTGACTGAATTCATCTTGGTGGGCTTCTCAGCACACCCACAGTGGCAGCTGACCCTATTTGGAATATTTCTCGTGCTCTATTTGATGACTTTGTCAGGGAACATGACCCTGGTTATCCTAATCGGAATTGATTCCCGTCTGCACACCCCTATGTACTTTTTCATTGGCAATCTGTCCTTTTTGGATTTTTGGTACACTTCTGTGTACACTCCCAAAATCTTGGCTAATTGTATCTCAGAAGACAAATGTATTTCCTTGGCTGGATGTGGAGCACAGTTGTTTTTTTCCTGTGTTGTAGCCTACACTGAGTGCTATCTCCTAGCAGCCATGGAATATGACCGGTATGCAGCAATCTGTAACCCATTACTTTATTCAAGTATTATGTCCAGTTCTCTCTGTACTGGGCTCATTGCTGGCTCCTACTTAGGAGGGCTTTTGAATGCCATAGCCCATACTGCCAACACTTTCCGCTTGAGTTTCTGTGGTAAAAATATTATTGACCACTTCTTCTGTGATGCACCACCATTGGTAAAAATGTCTTGTACAGATACCCACGTCTATGAAAAAGTCCTCCTGGGTGTAGTGGGCTTCACAGTCCTCTTCAGCATTCTTGCCATCCTGATTTCCTATTGCAACATCCTTCTGGCTATCCTGAGGATCCGCTCAGCCTTAGAAAGGCGCAAGGCCTTCTCCACCTGTGCTTCACACCTCATCTCTGTCATGCTCTTCTATGGATCCCTGCTCTTCATGTATTCAAGGCCAAGTTCCACCTACTCCCTGGAGAGAGACAAAGTGGCTGCTCTGACCACACCATGGTCAGTCCACTGCTCAACCCTCTCATCTACAGCCTGAGAAACAAAGACGTCAAAGAGGCCTTGTGGAAAGCAACACAAACCATAAGGCCACAGAGATGAAGGTTATTTTTTTTGCAGAATGTTCTTATTGCATAATTTTCCAAATTATTGGCTTATATGTATGTTGGTAGTCATTGCAATTTTCAAGTAAATACAAGTCATACTTAAAGCAATGACACATTAAGGAAACCACTCTTTGTTTATTATTATTTTGTGATTAAAATACTTAAAACCTATTAATTTTGGGTTGTTGTTTGATGTTTTACAATACTGTATTTTACTTTCTTATAGTGCTAGATTTACATAAAACTTATCCCCTTTATTATCTTTGGGGGATCTTGGAAAGAGAAAAGGAATTGGATAGTTTTTGTGCACGCAGTTTGTCTTTGAACCTTGACAAGCAAACTTTATTGTGTGGGGAAAAGATCTAGAATGGTTAAACTGCTGGAAATTTACTCAAGATTTTACAAATATTTATTTTTAGTAAGGTGTTCTCTCCATACTTCTTCATAAAGCTCTAATTGAGTATACAAAAAATATCTTTGTAAACCTTGTGTCTTCTACATCAATTTAATATTAGCAATATGTTTAAGAGTTGTTTAGAATGAGCAAATAAACAAACAGCCAAAATGTCTTTCTAAACCCATGAAGAGGTATGTGTCTCTGAAATTGTATATCACCTCAAAAGAGTGATCTCTCCATGGAGAATAGAACAAGTATTCTGCTTTACACTCTCTCACTTCATACCAACACATATTCTCTGTGAAGGAAAAGATCAAGACCAAGTGGAACAAACCATAACAAACAAACTGACTAACAAAAACACCTCTATATTCTAGACCCACTACTTCTTTTTTTTCCCACCAGAAGATTTTAAGCATAAAGAAACTTACAGCTTAATATTCAGTACATGACAGATTTAGTTGGTATTTTTTCAATACTCCTTATAACCACAATGAAAATTAAGGATTATTAGTTACATGTGACAAATGAATAGCTGTGCCTCACCAGTTAGTACTTTATTATTAAAAGACTATAGCTATTGCTGTAATGGGCACAGTTATAAGATGCTTTATTTATTTATTTATTTATTTATTTTTAAAGATTTTATGTATTTATTATTTGAGAGAGAGAGAGAAAGAGAGAGTTTGAGAGAACAAGTGGGAGGAGGGGCAGAGGGAGAAGCAGACTTCCTGTGGAGCAAGAAGCCCGATGTGGGACTCAATCCCAGGACCCTGGGATCATGACCTGAGCTGAAGGCAGAAGTTTAAACAACTGAGCCATCCAGACACCCTATAAAATGCATTTAAATTAAAATTTTAGAACAAATAGGTGGAGTCACTTCAGCATTTCTGTTAGCTCTGGCACTTCTGATCTTTCTTTTTCTCTGCATTCATCAAATAACACCTCATTGCCTTCTCTTTTCATCAAAATATTCTTAACACTTTAAAATTCTCTTTTTATAAAGATTTTTATTTTATTTAACAGGGAGACAGAGAGAGGAAGAAGGAGAGAGAGAGAGAGAAATAGCAGGGAGACGGCCAGAGGGAGAGGGAGAGAATCTCAAGCAGACTCACTGCTGAGCACAGATTCCCACCTTGGGGCTTGATCCCATGACCCTGAGATCATGACCTGAGTCAAAACCAAGAGTCAGATGCTTAAGTGATTGAGCCACCCAGGCGCCCCAAGATTTTTTTTTATTCTTCTATTACAGAAGTTCTGCAAGTATTGGATGAGAAGGATTTGGGGTGTATTACATAAGCCTCCAGAATTTCTTTACATTCCCATAAAGCTCAGTATGTATGGAAAAAAAATAGGTCAATCTTAGGGGAGATAGCAAAGTAAAATTTAATCTTTTGGGGTCTCAGAAGCAATATATATACACTTCTATTTTGCATTAAACCCTAATCCTGCTTTTTAAAACTATGTTAATATTAAATTGAACCAATATTTTATAATATAGATTATAGTCCGATCACTAAAGCAAATCAAACTAATATAAACAAAACTTTTTTCACTGGATTTCTTTAACTAGAAAAAAAGGTGTGTTTAAAAAAGCCAGTTTCCCAAGCTTCCTCTGAAGCAGTCCATTCTTCCTGAGCACTGATTTGAGAAATGTATGTCAGTTCAGACTTCCGATTGTGTTAACCAGACAAGTTTTTTCAGGGTTTCTTTCACATCCTTATTCCTCAGACTGTAGATCATGGGGTTCAACATGGGGAACAGCACAGTATAAAATGTTGATACCATTTTATCCCTTTCAAGGGAATAGCTGGAACTTGGGCAAGAGTAGATGTAGAGAATGGAGCCATAGTACAAGGTGACTGAGACCAGGTGGGAGGAGCAGGTGGAGAAGTCCTTGCTGCGGCCCGGGGTGCAGCGGATCCTCAAGATGGCAGCGATGATGAATAGGTAGGAGGCGATGATGAATAGGTAGGAGGCGAGGATGAGCACCATGGGGGTGATGACGTTGGAGCCCAGGAGGAAATACAGCACAGCCTGGTAATTCTCTTTCACATCACATGCCAACTTCACCAGTGCTGGGACATCACAGAAAAAGTCGCCGATAACATTGTCACCACAAAAATCCAATGTGAATGTGTTGCTGGTGAATATTATTGCGCTGACAAAACCTCCAGTATAGGAATATATAACCAAACAGATGCACAATCTCCTTGACATGGCTTGACCATAAAACAGGGGGCTGGAAATGGCTGCGTAGTGGTCATAAGCCATGGTGGCTAACAGGTAACACTCACTGTATGCCAGCCCAGCTGAGAAGAAGAACTGACATACACAGCCAACAAAGGAGATGCTTTTGTCTTCAGAGATGCAGGTCATAAGGATCTTTGGGGTGTGGACAGAGGAATACCAGAGATCCAGAAAAGACAGATTCCCAATGAAGAAATACATGGGTGTGTGCTGCCGGGAGTCATTACAGATCAACACTATGAGGGTGGCATTTCCTACCACTGTCTCAGAGTACACACCAAGGAATACCACAAGCAAGACCAGCTGCATCACTGGGTCTGTTGTGAAGCCCACCAGGATGAACTCAGTCACCGTATGATTGCTTCTCTCCATGGTTTAATGAGACCTCACCTACAAATGAAAGAGTGAAGAGTTTAATTCCCTCAACCAATACTATGGGAGAGCAATCTTACTGTGGGAGAGCAATCTCTGTGATAAGCCTGTGAGATTCAGTCAAGCCTGTAGTTGTTAGGGCGACGGAGAATCAGAGCAGGAATCTTGCCTGACTAGGGCATGTGATGGGAATGTCAACATATTCATTTCAATGAAATGCATTTAATAATAGGAAATCTTGGGTGCTCTTGGGGGCTTATTCATTTCTTAAGAAAATATTTCTTGAGCCCCAGGTGCCCTCTTGGCATTGGGATACAGCAGTGAGGACAATAGGTCTGACCCTTATTCTATGGAGACTTTATTTAGAAGGAAGACTACATAATAAATAAACAAATACATGTAGAAATATTTTTAGTTAATGTTAAGAGATATTAAGAAAAGAAAACTGGATGGTGGGGTGAAAATGAACTGGTAGAGGAGCTAATCAAACTTAGACACCGAGAGGAAAAAGTCCTTTCCTGTTTCCCAGCTACACATGGACAAGTTGTTCAAAGTCCATGAGAGATGGGAAAGTCCTTGTGGTTTAGAAGGTGGTGACATTTGAAAGATGGCAGAATATGCCACCCCCAAAATGCCTTTTTAGCATATTTTTCTTTTTCATGAATGTTGTAGCATGTATCATTACTTTGTTTTTGTTGCCAAATTATATTCCTTTATATGGATACACCATATTTTGTTTACCTATTCATCAATGGATGTATGTTTTATTGTTTCTACTTTTTGCCAATTACAAACAATGCTGCTACGAACATCCTTGTACAAGTTTTGTATAGACATATGTTTTCATTTGTCTTGAGTAGATAGATACCTAGGAGTAGAATTGCTGTAGAATTCGGAAAGAAATTTCAGAGTGGAGACCAATAAATTAATCCAACTGGTTATGTCAAGTAACAAAATATGTGATGTCATTGTAAGTCTTTTGGGTCTAAAAGCCTGGGACTTAACATTATTCTCCAGGTTTTATAACTAGCCATGTACAATGCTTAAAAGGACACCTATCCCAACTTGATATTGTTTTTAGTAACAGTTCTCAATTTTATCACATTGAAAAACTTCCACTTTATAACAAGCATTTAAAATACTTCCTTTATAGTCCTAAAATGAAATTTATGGTTAATACAACCTACCTACAACATATGTGTGTATATGTATATAAAATATCTAATTCTAATTATAAAAGTGATAAAAAAAGAAAAGTAGCTCATAATATAACTATTACATGGTAATAATTATAGGGTTTATTCTAAAATAATGTGAATTTTAATATGTCAATCCTACAACATTTGGTGAAATGGTTATATATGTATGTAGAATCATCACAAATGTATTAGCGATTCAAATATCAAGAGTGGCATTTCCATCAGTGATAACATTTTTCTGACAAGGTGAATAATTCTTGATAAAGTTCCAAACAAAATAAATGACACTTTTCCCTCAATTTTGAATTCTTAGGTGAGTTGATTTATAGTATAACCTTGCAAAATATAGTGTTTATTTGTAAAGTGGAGTAGATTTTAAACTCATAGAATTACAAAGATCTTTTTTGCATGCACAAATGTCCATCAAGACACTGGCTGTAGAGGGTGGGACGTTTTTTTTTTTTCCTTTGGATGGGACTGCCCCCTAGGTAAAAAATATTTCCATTGTTGTCTACTGCTTATTAAATGGCCCCTTGATCTTTCTGGCAGCCAAAAATCCAACTGCACTTTTCAGAAATGTTCCTTAAAGGATATTATCACTCTGTGAAGAAACCACACCCACAGCTTTGTATTTTACTTTGTGACCTATTATAGGGCTCTTCTGGGAATTATGTGAAAAAATAGAAAATACCTGGAGAATATCTCTGAGTGGTAAATTTCTACTTTTCATAGGCATACAGGGTCACTGGAGCCAAGCAGAGATGAGATCCCACTAGGATGTAAATTCCTTGAGAGCAGGATATTTGTCTCTT